GTAGACTAGGTAATCGTTCACTGCAAAGTAACCCTCAGCCTACTAGTTACGTGAAAAGCTTTGAGTATTATGTCTTACAGAGTTGGAGTTCCTCTTGGACATTTGCCAAGGTGCTTAAACAAAGAATTGAAACTTTCTGCCACATGGAGAACTGAAAATGTTTTCATCCCCCTTGCTCATCAGGAGGAAGTTTCTCAGCAGCAGAAAACAGTCCCTGCTGTGCCCAGCAGTGTGCATCCTCAGCTTTCCCCACGCCAGAGCCTGGAAGCCCAGTATCTGCAGCATAGACTCCAGGTGGGACCCTTCCCCTTGTTACTCCAGCTCACGGGGCTTGTCCAGAATTTGCTTTTCTGCAGAGCAGAAACCTGTTTTGCCTGGTAATTTTTTAGGGTGGCTGCTTTTTTCCCTATAAGCAGGTAGCTTTGACTCTGGATTTGTAGTTTCTAAAAACATGTTCAGACTTAGCCTTATGCTTATATTGGCAGCGGAAAAGGATTTATCCTCAGGTCCCAGGAAAGGAGAATGCCACTGGTAGGAATGAGAAACCCGGTTTCTGTGCCTCTAATGTTATGCCTATTAGTGAATAATAAATAAAATGGAAATCTCAAGCCAACAAAATTCAGCTCTCAACATTAATGCCTGAAAATCTTTAAAAATGATACACATCATTCAGTGGGCGCTGTGGCCTTTGCTCTCAAGATTTAGCTCCACTCTTTCTCATTGTGTTTCATCGTTCTGAGCCTTGTAGTTCTAGAGGACTCTGAGAAATGGAAAAACTGACGCTCGTCCAAGCTGGGGCAGCGCAGGCCTGCTAATTGAGTGCTGTTGGGCCTCAGGGAGCGGGGGTCCACGCCCTCACCCTGCGCAGATTCGGGAGGACACAGTCGGCCTCGTCCTCCGGGCAAACAGGACAGTCCAGTGACCGCATCTTGGATGACATCATATTGTCATGCTCATATTCTTTTTCTACTCTTCCAGAAGCCCAGCCTTCTGTCAAAAGCCCAGAACACCTGTCAGCTTTATTGTAAAGAACCACCACGGAGCCTTGAACAGCAGCTGCAGGAACACAGGTGAGAGAGGGTCCCTTTCTTTGCTGAAGACTTGAGGACGCTGGATGTGTTGTCCTCCCCCCACCACCGGCGTTTGCTTCTACTGTGACACAGGTTTCAAGACATGATCACTGATGCAGATAGTCCAGTGTCCTCAGGAGATGGGCCTGGCAGGATATGGCAGGCCTGCGTTTGCTTTGTTTTCTTTCCCTTCTAGTGTTTCCCTTTGGGTTATGAATAGATCTAAGCTTTCAGAGTCCGTAACCTACAGCAGTGTAAGTGGGTTCTGCTGCAGAGAGGGCCTCCATCATCTCTTGCAGTAATTCGTGTCCTCATGCCTCACTAGGAGAAGCAGCTTGGCCAATGTGGAATTACCCTAAGCCACCCCCAGAGGCCAGGCATTACCCCGCTTTAAAACACTCCAGATGGGAAATCAGCCTCTCGCTTCATAGGGAGAAAAACTCGGTCTTAGAGAAAATGAATTAGTGTTCAGTGTGGCACTGAGGGAACCGTCAGAATCGGGGGACAAAAAATGTCAGGGCTACGAAACCAGACACAGCTGGTTCCTACCCCCATTTTGGGGGGTTTCTGGGGGGAGGGGGTTTGGTTTTTTTGTTTGTTTTTTTTTTGCTGCGGAAAAGAGAAGTGGGAGGACTGATCCTGGATTTGTATAAAATTGCCATCACTGAGGAAGATTTGAAATTCTTTCTTTTGCTATTGCCAATTTAGACTCCAACAGAAGCGACTCTTTCTCCAGAAACAGTCTCAGCTGCAGGCGTACTTTAATCAGATGCAGATAGCAGAGAGCTCGTACCCGCCGCCGAGTCAGCAGCTGCCCCTGCCCCGCCAGGAGACGGCCACGGCGTCCCCGCAGCCCCCGCCCTTCAGCCTGCCCCAGCCCCTGAGCCCCGTCCTGGAGCCCACTTCCGAGCAAATGCAGTACAGTCCCTTCCTCAGCCAGTACCAGGAGATGCAGCTGCAGCCCCTGCCCTCTGCGCCCCGTCCTCGGGCTCCCCCACCGCCCCCACCGCCACCCCCTGCGCAACAGGCAGGAGCTGCCCCGACCCCCTTACCATTCTCCTATCAGACTTGCGAGCTGCCGGGGGCTGCCTCCCCGGAGCCAGACTACCCCCCTCCCTGCCAGTACCCCATGGATGGAGCCCCGCAGAGCGGCCTAGCAGCACAGGACTGTCCCCGGAGCTCGGGACTGCAGGAGGCCCCCTCCAGCTACGACCCTCTAGCCCTCTCAGAGTTCCCCGGACTCTTCGATTGTGAAATGCTGGAGGCTGTGGACCCACAGCACAGTGGCTACGTCCTGGTAAATTAACCTCAGCACAGGAAGTGAGGCGGGTCAAGTGAAGGAAGAATGTCTTTCTATTTTTATTCCAGCCTTTTAAATTTAAAGCTTATTTTCCTGCCCTCTCCCAACTGGAGAAAAAGTTAAGTTGCCCAACTGGAACCAGAGGGCCTGGCCGGGCACATGTCGCTTTCTCCTGGCTCTGTCCCACCACCATCTTCTGGGGCAAGTGCCGGAGTGTAGTGGTAGCTGAGGCTCATGCCCTTACATCAAGTGGAGCCAGCTCTCATGGGAGGACTGACAGATGTTTTTGTAAGAAGACATGTGGCCCTAGGTTTTCTGTAGAACGACGCCAGTTGTTATCGAGGGAAACCTTTGGTGGAAGCAGGAAAAACTGTGCCATTAGATGTGGGCAAAACAAAAACAAAACAACACTAGATTTTTCACTGAAGCCAAGCAACAGCACGTTCTGTTAGGCAAGTGAAGAATATGTAATGGACTTTGATGCACGGGAAGTAAAAGAAAAGTTGTGCTTGGTCACTGAGTCCTGAGTTTGAAGCTGCAGGTTGTCCCTGAGACCACTGCAACGAAGTGGAACGTGAGCTTTGTTTCAGGGGCCACAAAGGCACAGCTGGCACTGACCCCTGAGACGGGCAGTCGTCCCCACCTGGGAGCAGTGGCACCCCTCTTCCGAAGGTTCCCGGGGTGCAGAGTGGACTCGGGGCTCCAGTGCTGTCACCTGTGGAACCACGAGACCCAGCGCAGCGGGGGCGGGGGGGGGAATGAGCCACGAGGAGCCCTCGGGGGCAGCAGCTCTGGGCCCAGGGAAGACGCGCTGTCCCTGCTGAGTCTTTGTTGTAGACTGCTGGTCTGGGGCGGTTGGTCTCCAGAGGACCTCGCGTCTCTTTTAAAATGGAATAACTACTTTGACTCTACACTCGATGTTGCAGGTAGTTTATTGAGCTTTGTAAATTTGGACGGTTTCATATAGGGCTTAGGAATTTCAAGGACAAGAAACATGAACTTTGATCTCCCATGTGAAGTGGTAGTGCTGTGCCTTTTTTCCCCCAGATCATGCTTTAATTCTTTCTTTTCTGTAGAAACCAACAGTTTTCCATTTATGTCAATGCTAAATCCAAAGTTACTTCGGAGTTTGTTTTCCACCGTGTGGGAATCACATTCTTAATTTCCTTAAAAGTTCTGACTTGTAACAAAACGTTCAAGTATTACAGCAATATTTAAAACCACAGATGTGTTAACCATCTAGCAGATCATCTGCCAGACACGTTCTATGACTAGTGAAAACGTAACCTTAACCCTTCCAATTCTCTCATCAGAGTAAGTAAGTAAAAGCTAGATGCACCAGCTAGTTAGTTAACCGTATACCTAGAAGTAACAACCAACCTGTCGCTTGGACAGCAACATCCCAATGTTACAACCCAGTGTTATTGACAAAGACTGTCGTTTCTGTCCTGTAGAATGGCTTGTCCTATCAGCAGATGAATGCACTAAGCACAAAGCGTCACAAAGCACAAAGAAGAGAGACACTACACTGATGCTGCATCTAGAAACACCTTTAAGTTGCCTTTCCTCATTGTAGTGCGTGTCCAGGCAGGTGAGAAGCGTGCCCCAGTCCCTCCCAGCGTGGGTGATGTGAGCAGTCCTTGGTGCGGGCTCTGCTGGGGTGAAGCGTCCAGGTGTTAGCAAGACAGGGTGCCCATGGAGGACTGTCGTTTTTGTGATGTAACAACTCATAAAAACCCAGTAGGAATGAATTCTGTTCCTTCTGTGGATTGTTTATTCCTCCTCATACTTAGGATTGATGATTTCATGAAATAGAGAACATCATTTAAGCGATCCTTTCATTAAGATCTCTAATCTGTTTTTAGTCTTTGCAAAATAAGCCAGTTATGAAATAGGGCTTGATTTGTTTAGACTAAAGGATATTTTTCCAAAATATACTACAGAGGCACTGTCATGTTTATGAAATTAAAATGCCTCCCAGCCTGAAACTGGGACTGCAGGAGTGGCACTTAAAGGCTGACACCGAGGCCGCCCCCCCCCGCCCCCGCCCCCACCAGGAGCCCCAAGCCCGGGAACCCTTGGAGCGGCGCAGCCGCAGCCGACTGCGGGCAGGCCCAGGGCACAGCAGGAGAGGCTGCTGGTGTTTGTAGGGCCTAGAGCTGCACACGGGGAAGCTCCCCGCAGGGGCTCGGTGCGGGGGCCCTGCCGCTGAGCACGAGCCGCCCTCCAGACCTGTGGCGTAAGCTGTTTGTTTGCTTTTCTCCTTTCAAGCAGAAATCAGTAAATTCTGTAACGATCCGTCTTTACTGAAATGTCAGCTGGTGAAAGGAGACTGGTGACGGTCGGTAAAGTGTGCTCCCAGCCCCGTGGGATCGCCTCCATGGCTCTGTCCCCTGACCGGTGCCCTCCGGCCACTTCTGAGTGGCTTCCACACACACTAAAACAACACTAAGAAGGCTCCGTACCGCTCTTTTTACGAGAGGCTACTTTGAAATAAGGACTTTCCAGGTTGTTTCACGTTAGCGTGTCTACACTACTGTATAATAATCATTCGCTTTATTATCTTGTAAACCAGGCTCCTCTGAAGAGACTTGGGGGAGATGAACGGGAGGTAAAAATTTCATTCGGCAAAAAGTGCAATATGTGTGGTACTTTATTTTTTATGTTCTTTTTTTAATCCAGGGGTATTAGTCTCTGCTTTGGGAAAAATGCACTAGTTCTGCAATTTCCAGTTGGGCAAGTGTGTCTCTAGTATTTACATGCAACTGATATGCTGGTCCCTGTAAGGCAAGTAGAGCGCGTTACCACAACAGAAAGGTGTGTATTCTCCTGTAAAGTCCCCGGGGAGCTACGCTGACCATGGGGGCGGCGGAAGGTTCTCCACAGCCACCCCTCTCCCTTATCCACTTAAAGACTACCATCTGTGGCCCACGGGGGAGGACGAGGGCATGGCGCTAAAGGACGCTGTTCTGATAGGAACGAAACCCCTTCCCTCCCCTGCCCTCATCAAACTTTGCTCCCAGGAAGGAGAAAGTCGTCTCCCCCTCCTGCTCAGACATAAAGACCTGCCAGGCGCTTAAGCTGTTTCCTGAGTTCCTCGGGTGCCACTGGTCTGCCCCCACATCTGAGAAGAAGGGCCTGTGCCCTTCTGGGGCGGGAGCAGACCACCCTCCCTCCTGCCAACTACGGGCCTCTCCCCCCAGCTCTGCCCCCGAAGAGGCACCCAAGAGGGGAGAACGCTTGGAGTCGGCAAGAAGGGGGGATGCTCTGCTAGGCAGCGCCAGGTGGCTCGGGGGTGCGGGCCTGCACGCGGTGCTCTGGATTACGTTCAAAAGCCTCTGTCAACAGTTACACCTAAGCACCCTTTTGGTTTAAAGGAAGTTCATCCTCCAGCTCTCTTTGCCACATTCCTCCTCTAGAGACAATACAGAGGGTGCTCGGACAGCTCTGGCCCCAGGGAGCAGTTGTGGAATCCCCGTGCGGGGGCTTACCTTGGCCGCGTCTGTACCCCTGAACCGGGCCGCCTCTACTGCCTCCTCGGAAACCACCCGAGCCGCTCGCTCTCTGTGTGCCTAGACATCAAAGGGACAAACTGGAGAACAGGTAGTAAGTTGGAGTCATTGCATAGGCAGGGGTCTTTGATCGCTGTGCTGCTTCTGGAAATTTTAACAACTTATCTTCAGAGTGGTGTGTGGATGAGAGCAGTTATCTGCCTCTGTTTCAAAACTGGACAAAGATTCTTTAAATGTATGTGTCCCCTCTGACAGGTTCAGTGGTGTGGGCCTGCCTGCCCTGTGGCCCCCGAGGTGTGTGTGTGTGGGGGGGGGTCACTGACCACAGAGCGCCCCCCACTGGGCCGACTGCAGCAGCGCAGGGCCGGGGGAGGGGGCGGGGGGGGGAGTGTCTCAGCTCCCGCCCCGCGTCAGCCTGCCTGTCTGCAAGGAGCAACAGCTCGTATTTGTACATTAATTCACAAACATTTCACAAGGAATCTAAGCCTCACGACGATTCTGTGGAATTAGGACACATCCAGTCCTCACTGCTTCCAGCTGAGGACACCAAAGCTCGCGGGAGTTGAGTTTAGGTGAGCCAGCGGAGGGCAGAGCCCGTGCGGGAGGAGCTGGGGCGGCTCGGGGGTTCCTGGCTTCTCCCTGGGCGCTCTTTCCCTCACTAGCATCTGGAACTCTCTTCACGAGCCAATAGCTGTATCAACAAAGCCCCCAGCTTAGGTAAGCACGAGGTGGCTGGGACTCTGTCCCTGCAACCATAGTCTCCCCTTGGCAGCTCCCTGGCTTTGGGGGAGGAAGATGTGCCCCCCCCGCCCAGCGGCCGTGCAGGAACAGGCTCGAGAGACACAGACCCCACAGACCGCCCTCCTTGCAGGGTCCAGTTAGGTACAGAAGCATAGGCTCACACAGAGGTCTAGTTTCTCCCAGTCACACAACAGTAATTTCCTAGAGGAGCCTATGGGGGTAGGGCACACCCCTCCTTGACTGCAAAGGGGCCGAACTGCAGGGCTTTGGCTCAGTGCTGCAGGCCCACAGACCCAGCCCCACGAAAGGAGGCCCTGGGAGAAGAATCAGGAAGGAGCCTGGCCTGCAGGAGGGGTGTAACATTTCTCTCCTGTCAAGGTCCATCAAATATGAGTGCCAATTGGACACTTCTAGAGATAAAACAATTCACATACTTGGATTGAATACTCTGTCTTCTCAGAGGCAAAGTGGGTGGGTACAGGGGCACTATAAAAATAGAAGTACAAAAGAACATCCTGGAAAAATAGGACCCCAGACTGGATTTCTCTGTTCCTCGAGCAAGTAGAGTGAACTCAGATCCGCCTCTGGCTGGGGGGGGGGGGGGGGGGGGCGCTATCCGGTTCAAGATTTGCTCAGTCAAGGAAATCCAAGTGGCCAAGCCTTCCCACTGCTGATGGTGAAAGAAACCTGCCTCCACCAAAATCTCTGGAGGGAAAAGCAGAAGAAAAGGTTTGCTTCTCTTTGGGGACTGCAATTTAAGAAATAAAAGTGATTGAGATATTTGCACTTTGTAGAAAGGGCAAGATTATTTGCTTATTTCTGAAAGGAGGAGGGTGGTCTTTACTGGATATTTGGTTTGTGAAAGTTACTTTTGATAAAAATCTGATTGTAGTTATTTTTTTCCGTGTGGTTTTTTTTAATTACTAAGAAAAAAATGGTGAGTGCGATAGCTTTGGTATTTTTGAGTGCAAATCATAATAGCTCCAATGTGAAAACAAAATCAAAATGGACCCTGTCCCTCAATGATAGAAAATTACCTAAAATGCAGTTTAATAAATGATCTTTGTTACCAAATGGTAATTTACGTGGGGCAGTGTTCTGCAAGGAAAATGTACTGTTTTTATGTTTCCAACCTAAAACTGAATTAAAATAAAAACAACTTGTTTCCTAAGAGCCTGGATGCTATGAATGTCAGACAGAGGAGAGAGGGCCTTTACCTCATCAGGCCGTGAGTGGAATCTTTAAAGTATGGAAGGTGGCTGTGTTCCCTGAGCCCTGGTGCTCATTTCAGGCTACAAAAAGGACAGTGGATAATATGTTCTCATTGACGTCAGCAGGGTAAATAATACCTTGCTCAGAAATCGCCTGAGTACATGTTAGGCGCTGCACAGTGCTGACGGAAGCCCGGCTACCCACAGCCTGCGCACGGACGAGGCGCGGGCCGGGCGCTGCCTGCTGCTGGGTCCTCAGGGACCTAGTCCGCCTGGTTAAGGCCTCCGGAGCAGGAAGAGGGGCTCCCCAAGTTCAAGCCAGCTACAGAGCAAGGCGTGGAACTGGGGGCCAGCAAGACACCGCTCCTTATTCATAATGGCACATCCCGAGGGCCTGCGGAAGGCCTCGACCCTCCCCCAGTGTGCACACACGGCGGCCCCCTCCTGGGGCCGGGCACCTGCTCGGCGCCCCTCAGGTGCTGCAGAACCCATGAGGCGTGAGAGGCCACTCTCAGACGTTCGGACTTGTCCTAGCGCCAGACCCTGAGAGGAAGGGCAGTATGAAATCCTGCTTTCTGGCTGCAAGTTCAACAGAGATCTGGTTTCACTCACACCATTCCGGTTGAGCCGATGCTATAGAACCGAGACCGCTCCCAGACAGGGATCATCTGCTGGTGCAGGGGGCGGTCAAGGGCAGGAAGAGAGCAGAGCCCTCAGCACTGACCTGCGCTGCCCAGCACCACGCACAGGTGCTCAGTCCTGCCCCCAAAAGACTGGTACCCTGTTGGGTGACCCAAGAACTTACTGAGTTTCAACAGCCTCTTTTTTTTAAGGAAAGCACTCAATTTCAGTAATGATGTTTTACGGACTTTTCCCTTTCCCACCAAATTTCTCCATCATTTTTGTGTTGCCAAAAACAACCCCAGAGGACAGGCCAAAATACCAGACCTGCCAGCAGAGCCTGGCCAAAGCTAGCCCGTCGGGCCCCTGACCTACATTCCCTAGAACATCCTTCCCTTCTGTGGCCTTTGTGAGCCAGAGGCTTGGCCCAGGGAGAGGAGGAGGGGACCAGGGAGAGCTGAGCCCCAGACCCCGGGCCAGGCAGGGCCCAGGACTTGCCCCCACTTCCAAAGGGACACAGTGTCTCCAGCCAGCTCCCCAGCCGGCCTCTGTTGCTGCCGGTCCAGGCGCAGTAGACCCTGTGCCCCAAGTCTCTGCTCCTGGCTACCTGCTCCTTCTCGAAGGGGGAATCCACTCAGCCTCCCCCCGTCAGGGAGCCTTTGAGAGTTTCAGTCTCTCCTGACTCCCCAAAGACAAGGAGGGAATAATGGGGCCTGAGATGCTGAGAAGGGGCCAGACTGAGGACGGTGACCCTCAGAAGTCAGTCCGTTACCATGCCAGGGCCACCCGCATAACCGGGAGAGGGGCACAGCTGAATGGAGAAGAGGCCCCGAGGCCTCTCCCAGAAGCACGCCAGGCAGAGGACCCTGAGCTCACAGCCTCCACTGATTCCTCAGTGGGAGGCCCAAGAACTGCCCTCCAGTCACCAGAGAAACCCAAATGTTTAGCAGGATCCCTGCGCCAGCAGAGGGCCAAAGGGCAAGCAGGTAGCTGGACGAGGCTCCAGGGATGCAAGGGGCCTGGCCAGGAGAACGGGGCCAGCTTCTCCCAGCCCCCCCCCCCCCCCCCCGGAGCAGCCACCACCCAGGCCCGAAAGGCTTGGCAGAGTGGGGCCTACCCATTCCCTGCCAGGGGCGGGGGGGGGGCAGCAAGGCCCCTCTGACCCGTCCTGGGCCCTGGCACCCCTCCCAGCCCTGCCACGAATCTCAGCACGTCCCAGCAAAGGCTCATTGTCCCCAGCGCTCACTTGGGAGTGCACCCTGGCTGACTGAACTCCCAGGTTTACTGTGAGGCTGAAGGGCGGCCTGGCCTGGCCCTGCCCTCCACGCAGAAAGCCGCAGGGAGATTCCCAGCTCCCCCAAACGGCTCATCACTATCTCAGCTCTGCCCGCCTTGCTTTCACTTAACTCCTGACCAACGCTGGACTCAGAACATGGCTGTGTGACACCGATGGGTCCCTGCACAGGGTCAAGGCCAGCCGCCCTATCCCGAGCACCTGCCCCGGGCTGAGAACCCGGAGCTTTGCCCTGGCTTCCTTCATTCCCAGTCGTGAGTTCTGGGCAGTGCCAGCCACAGGCACCACCGACGGCAGAGCATCCACAAGAAGCCACGTCCCAGCCAGAAGGGGGCTTTTGTCACCAACCTCCACCTTCCTGGTCAAGCGCCTGGGCAAAGGGTTGGAGGGCCTGGGGATCTTTCTCAGTCCCCAAAGCCCCAGGGTGGAGACGGTGCCAAGAGGAGGCCAGAGCCCAAGGGCACAGCTCCAACTGGCCTCCCTGGGCTCGGATCCCTGCTGTCTGTCCTCAGCACTCAGGCCTCCTGCAGCCTTTCCGGGCCTCTTCCCTCCAGGTACCCAGAGCCAAGCTCCTCAAATGGCCCCTGAGGGGCCCCCCAACTGACTCTAGGCGGCGGGGAGGGAGTGGTGGGGGGCAAGGAAGCTGGCCCCGGGGCTATGGGACTTGGCGGGGGGTGGGGGGGCCCTAGCGGGAACTGCCTGTCACCAGCAAGTGCCACGTGAGCGCACGGAGGACAGACAGATGCCAGAGGCAGAGACCGGAGAGCCTAGGGGCCCGAATGACTCGGAGGTTGGGGAAAATACAGAAAACTGGAAAAAACAAAAAGAAACAAGGACAGAAGCAACCACGGGCGCAGAAAGGAGAGGCGACTCGGTGCGGGCGGGTGTCTGTGCAGGAAGGACCGCCCGACAGAGGGGAGCGGAGGAAGAGGGACCATTCAGGACGTCAGCGCCTGCAACCATTGTTTATGGATGCTTCGCTTGATTTTAGTCTCCAAACCCGGGCTCACATGGAGACTGAATGTCCCTCACAGCTGCTCCTTCCTGCAATAACAAGACTGACATCACTGTTGTCAGGGAAATGGTGTTTTGATTAAAATCATGTGACAGCTACTTTGTGATTCAACAAACAAATCCTCTGTTAACCCTCGCCTGACAGAGGCCTGTGGGCAGCTCCGGCATCAGAGGGCCACCGCAGACCGTCCGGGAGGGCGACCTTACCCGCTGCGGTGACCCGGGGGTCGGGCAGGGCGCACGGAGGCAGCCACATTGCTCCCCGGCAGGTCCTGCAGGGGTGGGGGTGGGGGGCAGGCGGCCTTGTGAGCACAGACTGCTCTGCAGGCTCCCAGGGCTCTCGCCTCGGGGCTGTTCCCTGCTGGACCGAGTGGCGGGCCCAAGCCCCGGGATGCCCGACGGCTCCCGCGGGGCCCCGACACTGACCGGTCCAGGCCTGCCGTCGGCCCTTCGGCCCAACGGGCCAGTGTGCACCGCCGACAGGGCGTGAGGGGTTAAGAATGATTTCTGGTTTGCATTGGAGGACTTCCTGGCTCACTCACTTGGCTGCTGGCCCCTGACACACAGGGCTCTGCCTGGCAACACTCCATTCCCTCCCATCTCATCCTCGGGGCATTTTCCTTCAGTGAGACAGGCAGGCAAGGCTCCCTGAGTCACGGGGCAGGGGGGGTTTCTGGGTAAAATGATCTGCTGCCTCAGAGGCCTAGCACTGCCGGGAGACCCCAAGTAGACAGAAGAGGACTGGCGAGGGGAGGTTCACAACCACCTGAAAAATGAGCTCCCAGCACCCGCCGTCCAGGGAAGTGAAGATGAGGGGGATGCTGCCAAGTGCGTGACAAGTGTCTGCACGTGGTTTGCAAGCCGAAGGCCCAAGGACTGGCCATTGGTACTGTCTGCACCGCTTGCCGCTGTCCCGGGCCTGCCTGCAGAGCCGAGCAAGTCCACCACGGACGGGGCACTTCAACCGTCCCATGCTCAGGTCAGAGGCAGACGGCACACTTAATGACATGGCCAGTTGACCCTGAATTTGTAGGAAAACACCTCACACCTTTCTTCCCAAGCAAGGCTGTGGTTTAGGCCTAAAAACACGTAACTCTTACTCATGCTCCTCCGGTGAAGGTATCTCCCCAAAGGCCACGTCGTGTGAAACACAAAGGGCTGGCGGCTCAGGCCCGGGTCGAGGCCCAGAGGCTGTGAGTGGCTGTGAGCAGCCTTGTCACCCAGCGCTTCCCGTGGCAGTGGCCCGCACCGGACTCGCTGGCGGCTCAGGCCCTGGGATAAGAGAGCGCAGCCCCACTGGAAGGGAGAACATTCTCAGATGAAAGACTGCAGTTTGGGACCTGGACAACAGGAAAAAGTTCTCATGGCCTCAGTTTACATAAAATGGAAAAGCCACGGAGCTTCAGCAGGCAAGCTTTTCAATGTTAGAATCTTCACCAAGCAGACCCACTCGAGTGGGTACGAGAATGCCAGTGTCAGCCAAGTCCACGAAATGCAGCCTGACATCCGCACGAGGCAGCTGAGGGCTTCGGCGCTGCTTTTCTGGACGTAGCGGACGCTGACGCAACACGGGTCTGAGCTGCGTGGGGCCATTATATGCAGATTTTTCCCGTAAATGCAGTACCATGAATGTATTTCTCTTCCTTATGACTTTCTTAATCACGTTCTCTCTAGCTGACTTTATTGTAGGAACACAATACAGAATACACATACCATACAAAATACATGTTCATCGACTGTTCATGTTGTCGGTAAGGCCGCTAGTCAACAAGCTATCAGTAGTTAAGTTTGGGGGAGTCAGAAGTTCTATGTGGATGTTCATCTGTGCGGGGGCGGGAGGGTGGCCAATGCCCCTAACCCCTGTGTTGTTCAAGAGTCAACTGTATCTGTAAGCCACAGACCACCCTCCAAACGGCCCCAGGGCCGTGGCCAGCACCAGCTTCAATGAACCAACAATTACTCTCAAGTTCAAAACTTCTGCACACCTTCTCCAGAAGGGCATCAAATGGGGCTTCAGACCATTACACGGTGTTAAGTGACAGAAATGGTTTTGTCCTTGAACGGACAGGGCTATCTGAGCAGAGTTGTAGCAACTGAGAACGGTCTATAGTCTCTGAAGTAGAAACGACCTGTTTCTATAGGTGACTCCTCACCAACCGCCGCTGTCCCCCGTGTGACCTTGCCGTCGCTGACAGAAGTACTGCTCCGTGCCTCGCCTGCCAGAGCACCACGCCCCAGGGACCACTCTCCACCCATGCCTCAGCCCGAGACAGGGGAGGACCCAGGCGTCAGCGGCACTCACCTTGCCAGTGTCCTCTCCAGGCCCTCCGGGTCTCAGGAAGTGGTTCTTGTCAGCCCCAGGAGTGCTGGGCTCCTCACTGTCCTTCGCAGGAAAATCTAGCTTCCTCAGCCTTTGGGCCACCGCTAGAGATACAGACAGTACGGTGACGTCCCCCGACCAGCCCACCTGCACTTCCCAGCCAGGACGCCCCTGGTTGCTCCAGTACTGCAATGGGGGAGCACAGGAACCTACAACATGTGGGTCCCTGGGCAGAGAAAGCTGGTTCACCCCAGAACCTTTCTGAAGGTGCTTTTTCCTCAAGCGCCATGGAAAGTGCCACCGCACTGGGCCTTCCGGTGCCAGCAGGGTGCTCCCCCACATCTTGGCCACTGCCTGCCTGCAGAGCCCCAACCGGGCGGCAAAGACCCGGCTCCTTCCAGCACTGAAAATACCAGTTTCAGAGAACTCTGGAGAAAGAAACGACTTGGCTTTTCTACCCAATGAGTAATTAAACTCTTCATCCTCCAGATTTCCATCTCAACCGAACATTATGTAACTTCCTAGAAACAGCAGGTTCAGGGAGGCAAGCGGGGAACAGTGAAACCACTGCAGATACAAGGCATGGAGACACGGGAGTGACCAGGGGGCAAGGGCACAGATGGCGGCAGGGATGCAAATCAGAGGGAGACCATCACAGAGCCACAGACCACCATCACTTAGTCCTTAAGGTGAGGACAGCGCTCCCTCCCGGACCAGGTGTCTAAGCAGAGGAGAGAAGGCTCCAGGAGCACCGGAGGACAATCATGTGTCAGAGGAGTTCAAAAGGCAGGACAAGCACCCAGCCAGCTGGCTGCCCCACCCTCCATCCCTGGGGCAGGGATGCAATCAATGTGATTTCTGCAAGAAAGCACCAGATACTCAACTCCTTGGCAACACAGTGACTAATACACACTACTGCACCAAGAAAGCATTGCCGTAGCTTTTGCACTGGCTTGGGAAGGGCACGTCGGTTTCCCTGGAAGGCCTATGCAAGGATCTCGGATGCTTGGGTAAGACGGTTCAAAGGTCCAGCGGCCGGGCTGAGTCAGGACAGGCTGTCCGGCAAAGACCCCCGTGGCCTTGCATCCCAGTGGCCAAGCTGTGGCATTTCCATGAGCTGAGGGCCGTCACTTCAACAAGCCCTCATTAAAAACCACATGTTAACCTGTTTGTCCTCAGGAAACAGGACACATCTTCAGGTTCCTATAGTCTTGGCAGCACAGAGAAAAAAGATCTGGTCTTGGTCTCCTAAACCTGGGACAGGTCAACCGCACACAAAACGTAGAAACACTAAGGTGAATTCCAGGCTTGAGGAGACATCTTTATTGGGGTCAGCTTGACTTTCCTCACGGACCAACGGACACCAATGGCAGGGGATGAAAACCCGTGTACATCCCAGGTCATCGTGCAAACCCCAACGGAACCGTGGCTGGAGTGGGGAGCCTGGGGAAGCACGACCCAAAGCTTGTTTAAGAGTTGCAAAATCCTTCCGTTTTGCCAGTGGGAGGATGAGCTGTAGTGTGGTACCTTCGATGACTTGTTCCTCACACGCAACACATCAAAGGACAGATTTTAGAGATTCATTCAACAGATTTTTATTGAGCACCTACTATGTACACCAGACACTGATCTAGGTGCTGGCAATACAGTAGAAGACAGAACAGACAAAAATCCCTGCCCTTATGGAGCTCCTGGGGTGGACACGCTAGTGAAAACAAGATGGGAAAACCAATCCATGGCTAATATGACCGGCATGAGCCAAAGAACAATTCCCCTTGAGTAACAAAAGGGATTCCCTATTGCTTAAAACAGAAGGAGTCGATGAACTCCCTAAGGGGTCACCCAGAAATACAGAGCCTGCTTAGCTCCCAGACCCATGCCTGTGAAAACCAGGGCTCCTGTCTCCCCTTTATCACTGTCTTAGAGGGAGAGGCCAACACTCAGGGCTCCCCAGGGAGTACATCTGAAGTCCAAAAGACATTTAAAAGTCCATCCCAAAGCCCATGGCATTTCCAACCAAAGAGTTAAGCAACAGTTGTGCAAGTCTGTTTCAAGAATCAAGACATCGATCTCTCAAACATGCAATTCACTGAAGGGGAACATAACCTGGAGATAATAAGAAACAAAAAGAACCACAAAACTAAAATTAAAATGTTTACAGAATAGTTTAAGATATTAAAACAAGAATGTAGGAAAGTTTTTTTGCATAGGAATACATTTAATCCTTGGCCCAAAAGGTAATAAAATAGACATTTCCTATAAGGTAGGCTGGTAGTTTTAAATGCAGGCAGAATAATGTCTGATTTAAAAGGCTCTGTTTCTCTAAGGTAAGACAAACCTGGAAGCATCAGGTCAAACTTGGTTTTATGTAATGATTTCACATACAAAGGTGTACAGCAGTCTGCCGAACTTCACCGAACAGGGATCAGGCTCACTGGGCTCACCGAATGAAAGAACCAATTCAAAAACCAAAATGGAAACAAGGAAACCACACCACAACAAACAAGGAGCAAAAAATAAGCTACAATAAAACCTTATTAAAATTCCTTAGGACAAGGCAAGTTTGATTAGGTGAAAAATATAACTAAATCTAAAAGAAAAAATATTTATAGTCTCCATGAAATACATACATATATATTTCAGAGATAAAGAGTGAAATGAATACATCCAAAAACAGGTATGGCCTACAACGATCCCCATGGAAGGTATTTTAATAAAAGTGAAGACTGATCAGTAACGGGCATGTCAACTGGAAAAGGGTGCTTTTTAAAGAGAGCTTTTTAAAATTACTTCAGTTGTACAGATACAACAGGCTTCCTGACATACTATTAATGGGCTTCAACAAACCCTCCAGCTTAACTCCTCTTAAATTCCAGGAGGAATTACTGAGGTTTTACCGTAGAAGTAGAACCACAAACACTACACATGCGGCGCACCCGGCATCACCCATCCCCCCCATCCCGAGGCAGCGGTGCCGAAGCTTTGCACCGAGGGCCCGACAGCAAGAGGCAGGAAGCAGAGCCGGGTCAAGAGCAGGAACTCCTCACAACACTCCACCAGCAGTTTCTCCACTCACCAGAAACATGGAATGGCAATCTTACAGTGAAGCAGTCACACGACTGCTTATTAGGGTGACACAACATTTTTCGTTTCTCAGGGGGCAGAGGGAGGGAGCCAAGTGTTTGTGAATGCAGCCACGGTGCTGAGCCACTGGCATCCAGGTGGGGCTCAACACCACATGTGAGCAGTGAGATGCATCTGTACTCCAGGTTTCTGAATGACATGATTGCAGTGAAAATCAAGCAAATAAAAACCAAAACCACCAATACATGAACCCTGAGCTTCCACACTCCCCTTTCATGAGAGACGCCAATGCAGACCATCATTATCTGGGAAAATGTGGCTTTCTATAGTTACATCTCCATGTGTCTCCCAAATAGAGGGTTCTAAACCATGTACATTTAACTTTGGAATGATGGAGACACACACAGATATATGTAAACATCAAGAGAATCACTCCACTCCCTGTCTGGGTCCAAACCCATCCAGGCTCGGTTGGGAATAGTAAGCGGCCAGGGCCTGATTCAACAGTGAGATGCAGGAGCCCACCTGGTGCCAGATAAATCAGCAGGAGACAATCAAGACATGACTGTACCAAGTGTCAGGAACTGGTCACAAACAGTAAGAATGCTTTCAATATAATTATCCCCAAAAACACAAGTAAAAAACAATCCCATTTTATCTTTAGAAAGAATCAAGTCACTGAAATTTGATCTCTTGTAAGCGGCTGCCATTTGCTTGGATGAGGTCTTGAAGGTTTTCCACTTTTTCTCCACCCAGTTTAAGAACACATTGACTAGAAATCTGTGATAAGAATTTAGCAAAGTCTTTTCCCTCCTGTTCCTCATTATGCCAACGCAAGCACTGGAAAATTCCAAAGAAAATCAAGTTAGTGGTACAGAAAGTTCATGAACTGTCTATGTGAATGTTAAGTATGACAACAATGATGCGAAAGCATGAGACTGTGGGCTTCTCACTTTGGTCAGTTTCTCTGCTCTGCCAGGCTCGAGTTAAACTTTAAAAACTGACTGAAATCCAAATGACAAACCGTTCTTACCCATGAGAATCCGAATCCTACCCAGCCCTAGACCTGGGACTCACAAAATGGCCTGCTCCATGGTGGGCCAGGAAGGTTCCACCCACAGAGGGCCCTGGCGTGCCAGCAGCCCGCTGACCCCGCTCCCACACACCCATCACCTGCCCGCTTCACTCACTCACACCCCGCTCACCAGGGCAAGACAGAAAGCAGACAAACCCACCACTTAGCGCTTCCTGTGCGAAGTATTTGACATCCACGTCCTCGTCTTGACCTAACTTCTGCAGTACCGGCTTCACTTCCTCCTGCAGGGCACTAAAATCCAACAGTGTTATCTGTGAGAGGCAGCCCTCTGGGCCAGATAAATGCTTTAGGGTATACATGGTCTATGGTAATTTGTAAAGTTTCAAATAAAAAGAAAACTGTAAATGCTTAGAATATACACCTGACCAGTACTCAATAATTTCTAAATCCTCCAGAGAATTAGCTTCAGACAATGACCTACACGTATACAGAGCTTCGACACAAAACGGCAGAGTCACGCCCTCAGAAATGGTTGTCAAATTACTACTTCCGTTACACAAACCCTTACCGTCGGCCAAGTGAAAATCACTGAACTTAGGTTATGCTCTTACTCCCCACTACAAGGTAAACATTTAAATCTCCTTCTTAAACAAGACTAATACTGAAATCTTACTCAGTATCTAGAATTGGTCCAATTTTCTGAAGAGATTTCGCCACATTGAAACGGACATTCGCTACTTGGTCTCCTGCCATTTTCAATACAATGGGCAGCATCTGCTTAGTGGTGATTTCCTGACCGCAGGCTTCAGAGAGCACCTTGAAAAAGAATTAAGATGGTACATTTAAAACACTTTTAGGTTTTGTTTTGTTTTTTTAAAAGGTTTCTTAGAGAGAATGCACGTGCAAGAGCACACGTGAGGGGAGGGGCAGAGGGAGAGAGAGAATCTCAAGCAGATTCTGCACTGAGCCCGGAGCCTAACTCAAGGCTTGATCCCACGACCCCAAGGATTTTGACCTGAGCCGAAATCAAAAGTCGGACATTTAACCGATTGAGCCACCCAGGCGCCCCTAAAACACTTCCATGTTTCTAAATATCCCCAAATCCAAAAAGATAAATGAATATTTAAAAAGAAAGTAACTGACCAACAGGAAAATGTTTCTAATCTGAGCATCTGAATGAGGGATACGAGGTAGCATTCAAAGAATCTCAGAATTAAACCAGAATTCACCACTGACTTGATTACGGATTTTAACATGAATTTAAAAACTGACATTTTCTCTCATCAACTGCCCAAATTAATCAGTATAAGAAACAGATTCCAAACAGAACACACTATATTCTGAATTCAGAAATACAGCCCCAAATAACTGCTTTAGTGCCTAATTAGCAGTAACAGCCATATGATACTTACATTAATGCAGAATAAAGTGGTCATTCTGTGCAAGTAATTAGGATCACCTGCCATTACTAGCACCTTGGGAACGATGGTGTTTTGGGCCCACTCTGTACCAAACTTCTTAACGAGTTTCATGAGGTTGTTGGTGGCAGCTTCACGGATGGCATACACTGGCAGAAGAGGTGAAGGGCACACTGTCATGCTGCTCACATAAGAAGCATAACCTAGTTTACCGACCTCATCATCGAAGGGGGGCCAAGAACAAAACTCTCCCAACACTCCAAATTTACCCCTATTACATAATGGTCAACATGCTCAGATAGGACTCATAATATAAAGATTTGGTCTTTTTATAGTTTAAGAATGTATAATATGTCCAAGAAAAAGGAGCTAAGGAGCTCATGATAGGCATCATTAATTAATTAACAAATACTGAGTGCCTACTATGTGCTACATGTTAGAGAAAGAATACAGAAGAGACTTCCCCACACTCTATCAGAGAAGTGAAAGCTGCCGGGCTCCCAGAAGTCACATGGGGTAAGACTGGTCAGCACAATCCATGAAATCGTGTAGCAAAGATCGTGAGGGCTGGAGGAGTTTAGAGAAGAGAGAAAAGGGAGGTCCACGAAGCTTCAGGAAAGAGAGGCCTGGCACTGGACCTCGGAGATTAAGGAGGATTTGTGTAAGTGGAGAAAAGAGGGGAGGAATTCCTGGAGAGGGCAGAAACCAATGAAGCCAGACACAAAGGGGAAAAACTGCAGGGTGCAAGACCTCGAGGTCGGACAGTCGGTGCACTCGGAACACAGAGCACCTTGGGAGCTAAATTTAGATTTTGTAAGAAAAACGATGAGCTTTTAAAGCAAAGTTGTGACCTGATGACCAATGTGGTATTTAATCAAGATAATTCCAGCAGCAGCAACCAGAGCAGAGGAGAGAAAGCCAGCAGGGAGGTCACGCATAGGCCACTATGGTCACCTGCAAGACAGCAACTAAAAACCTCAGAGCGACTTGCCTCTTTTCCCTTAAAAGATTTATATGTTGAGACAACATGTCAAATGTATTCTGTGAATAAATGTGTGTGCTTTAACATCTAGTAACTCCCTGTAAGATCCATTTATCAAGAACATCCTAAATCTAGAATAATAAAAGCCTGAGCTACTACCTTCTCAACAACTCACTGCACAGCACCAAACAAAGTCAGGCCAGGGCAGCTTCATTTCACGGTCCCATAAAACTCACAATTGGGGCTCAGATAACAAATCCAGGGCAGTGGGTACCGACTCCCTACTCTACTTCTCTCTCCAGGTAGGCCCAACCCTCCTGGGCAACAGGGGAGGCAAGACTAGCTATCCAAGCCGCAGCCCCAATCCTGGACAATTTACATAAGGCTTCCAGACAGGGAATGTCCAACTCTCCCCAGTCCACAGATCCTTCTTGGCAATGCCATTGCTGAGAACAGGAAAGACCGCGTAGCCAAGGAACTATATAATTTATTACCAATACGAAACCTGACCGTCTGTGGGAGAAGCCGCCAGTCAATGACAGCCAGAAGCATTCTCCACGGAGCCAGCTCAAGTCAACCGTTTGACCCATAACACTAACTCCCTCCCTTCACAGTCATGGTCTTTGTCTTGGGCACAAACCCCTCCCAACTCCTCCCCCTAAGCTGGAGCTTGCTAAAGCAACTGTGTCTTGTCTAATTCTGCTTTTTAATTTGCTAGAGATTTTTCTCCTCTTAATGCCATTACCATAGGAAGGGATCTCGCAGCCAGAGTAACCAGAGACCACGCACACGCTCGGCCTTGACCCAGACCTCAGCTGTACTCAACTGTACTTGGCTCGATGCCTACTATGTTCTTGGCTCCTCTCAATTTTGTGCCAAAAGAATGCAAACCATTCCAGAGCTCTGCCTGTTTTCTCTCCTTGTTTTGTCTCTCTCCCTCTTTCCCTCTCCCCTCAAGGTCTGATGGACTTGAAAGGTTCCTCTGAATGCCTAACACACTCTATATGCTCACTCCGATACTTTACCCTTTCTCCTGTAAGAAATAAATTCCCCTTCTAAATTCCTCCCTCTGATCAAGATACTGTCCACTCAAGCTCAGGAAAAGAGGGGACACTTTCTTCCTGATACTACTCCAGATTTTTCACAATATTCTTTTAGTAGTTTAGTAAGCAGGAAAAACATTTCAAAAATGTAACTGCTCAGTGATCACTACACAGTAGTTATCTACAATGCAAAACAAAACCAACAAAAAACCCATATGACTAATTAAGTGCAGGACAATTTCAGAGCTGACATGTCATCAATTCAAAGAATGCTTGCAATACCAGTTTAGTATGCTAGCTACTGCAGAGACAGGAACAAGGGTCTCTCTTATGGTCCCAAACTGGAGGAAAGATGTCTGCAAAGTGAGGAGTAACTGACTGGTACAGACAGCAACCTTACAGAGAATGGGTGTGAGGAATTCAATTCTTTGTGGAACACTAAGACTTTAAAAGTGCCTCAGAATTTATCTAAAATGCAGCTTTCAAAAAAAGTATATAGAATGACTCGCTGGGATGTGTCCTTCCCACTAACATCAAATATGTATCAGAAATAATATAAACATTATTTTCCTAAAAGGAAAGGAATTTTTATGATTTACCAAACTTAAGTTTCATTTAAAAAGAAAAAAATTGGACATAAAAAGATAACTTTAAAGGACAAGAGTCTTCACATCTCGTTTTAAAACACTGAAATCACCTGCAGATATATGCGTTTGCGAGATGTGCACGTTTCTCTCACACCCTCCTCTTCACTGTCTTAACCACATCATCTTCCACATGATCCAAACATGCCCTGAACGAAACCACCTCCATGTACAGGCAGACGTAAGTATCCCACTGCTCCCAAATACCCAGGCATAAGCATCACAGGTTAACAGAGATAGACCCAGCACATCAAGTCTAGATGAGATGCTGTGGAACCAAAACAGGATGCCTAGCACATGCAACACAGTATGAAACCAAAGCCCATACGGGACACCATAAGCCCCCAGGGACCCCCTGTGAACAGATGCCTGGACGGGGGGCCTGGCGGTGAATCTCACTGGTCCAGAAGGCGCCCCCACCCCCCCACCCATTGCTGCCTGGCAGACCAGAGAAGATACATGGACCTGAACCTTGGCAAAAAATGAACTGCTAACAAGTTAACAGGTGAGGTGGTTTTATAGAAAACATCCATTGCCTTGTCTACCTTGATAAGAGCTTTCATGGCACTAGAAGAAAAGGATTCTGTGATTGTTGAATTATGTTATAAACACAAAGAGAAGATAGGTTATTTTCAAACGTATTTTCCAAAACAGCTGTTCCACCTGAGCCTGCCTGAGCTCGAGGCACTGGCAGGCGCCAAGGTACAGTAAGCCTGTCCTTCACCAAAACCAGGAATCTGGGCCCTCACTGTCCTCAGCCATGGCTGGCGTCTCCCACCCCTACACTCCTTTACTGCGCCACTGTATACCTCCTTCTCTAAGTCACCTCAAAGAAGCCAAGTAGCCACTTCCCCCGGGGCCTTTCGTCGGATTCCAATCCTTATCCTATACTGGCTAAAGACTCCAACGCCATGGTCGAGCAGAAGACCTTGGGATAAGGAAGGAGTGTATGTATAAAAAAGACAGTCTGAAAATAATAGAATGTCTAAGAAAACAGGGCAGAGACTGTTTAATGAAGAAAATAAGATTTAAGATTAAAAAAAATGGTAGAAAATAGCAATGTCAAACTTGTGTTCAAAGGAAGCTAAGTGGACTTTAATCAAAGTCCACTTTCTTCATCCCTACACATTGGTAGACAAAATGTCTGGTCAGATTAGGATTCCTTTCTAAAAAGGAAATATATGAACAAAATGGATGTGCATAAAAACATGAGCCTTCCATAATAATCTGTGTTTAACTTACTCACCGTGGTCCACAAGCCAGGCCATACATAAAGAATTCAGCTTTTCGTCAAAGAACTGCACACCCTATAGATACAGAAGATTCCATTAATACATTATCTCCAAAGTTCAGAAATCAAGGTGGTCTATTTAAATTACATCAAAATGACCTGAAAGCTAAAAAAACATGTTTCCAAATAAGCTGAATGCATGAACTAGCCAGAAAAGAAATGCATGGAATTTGATTTACAAACTGTAAACCTATTTTATTAGACAGCAATCATAAACAAAAGCCTACGTGAGATGGCCCAAGCCCCGCTAAGTGGGAGAGAAGAGCGTGGCCAGGAGCCAGATTCAACAATCCAGACGAGCTGGAAGAATGCACCGTGGACGGTTTGCCAAGCAGTATCTAGATTATTTGTAAAAATGGGCTAACCCAGGAAAATACCTGTCAATAATAATAGTTCTCATTTTTTTTTCCCTTTTTGGTTAATGTAATAAATCCTTAAGGATGAAGAAACTGACATCAAGAAACAGACCCCAATTAAAGAGAGAATGTCTGGGATGATGGGAGAAAGCAGAGGAGGGTGAATAAATCAGGCCCCAGACTCCAGGTTCAGCGGCCCCAGCACAGAGTCACGGGGGGAACCACCCCGGCCCTCCCCGTTCTGTTCTTCCCGCCGATAGGCGGCCAGCCCCGCACAGGCGGACTCACACACCTGCCTCTGTGGGACTCGTGCAGCACGTGGGACAGAGCTGGCATATCCAGTGCCTCCTCTGGGGGATCTACATGTTCCAGTTTTTTTTATTTCTTTGGATGCTAAGAAGTTATTGACAAGTGAGTGTATATTTTAAATAAAGAGATGTAATACCAAGGGTCAGTGCTCTGAAAATAGTGACTTAATGAAATAGCTTTATAATAACAGATTATAAATAGGTTTTAGCATACACTTAGATTACCATGTCAGCCTTCAAAGATTTCCTTTCCATTTCATCTCCATTCATTTTCATTTCAAAAACCCATTTCATGGATTTTTCTGGAGTCTTTTTATTTCCCAAGTTTTGTGGCTTAATTTTACATTTACTCACCACAGCTCACTTGCCAGGCTATACATAGAGTTGAAAGAATTTTATAAACTAACTACCTGAAATAAAAATCTATACAGATAAGAAGAAAAATAAAAATAAAATATAACAAGATATATATAATAATAATAAAATACTAACAAGAAGTTGAAGATATTGAACAAAATGTTCATGATGGATGCATGTCATCCCCTGCCAGACAGGTATGAGTCAGCCAAACTCACCCCTGCCCTGCTTCCATACTCCTCACCACAGAGCCACCAACCTCTGCCAACTTCCTGGGTCAGAGGGGAGCAGAAGCTAAAAGAAATGACACAAGAACTGCCCCTCCCTTCTGAACAGTTGTTTCAGTTTTTAGCAAACCAGTGAGGTGCTGCTGCTTTCCACTCTGGAGAGGAAGATGCAGGACAGTCACCAATGAAGCAGAGAGGGTGACCTTCAGCATTTGGGAGTTACAGAGGACAAAGAGATGACAAGATGACTTCACCTGACCCTATTAGCTACTCACGGATACCTCTGGCATCGTTTTGAATGAGACACTTCAAATTTTAAAGAACATAATGCCACTGACACGCACAGGCGCACTTCATAAACTAAATATGCCAAAATAGGCAACAAATACAGTGGTCCCAGAAAAAAAATTAATCCCACATGCTGTGATCTGAAAGTACTGGAAGGAGGGTGAGAAAGGACACACATTGCAGAATATTAGCTGTAAACTGACAAAGTGTAGGAGCTTTCTCAAAAAATATTCAGGTATTCGTTCCTTCGACATTCAACAAATGTTATGTGCCTAATTCCTGCCAGGTTCTGGCCAGCACTGCCCCAGAAGAGATCCCTTGTCTTTCTCCCCAGTCAGACGTCACCGGCACGTGCTACCCACAGCATAAGCACCTATCGAACCTAACACAGTCTAGGGCACTTACTAAAAAGAGAAAGGAAACGATGTGGCTGTAATACCCAGCACTGGAATTTTAATTAATATAATGATCGGTTAGAGTAAAACTAATCATGATACTGAAAACAGTAACACATAATGTGATAATGCGCTCTCTGGTCTCCAGACTTCATACTCCTTTCCTGTGACAAAGCCTCAACTCCCTTTAACCAGAATGTAGGAAAAGTGGTTATCAGGGGCATTTTGCACAGAATATAGGCAAACAGCTGTCCTGAGCAAAAATCAAAGTTCTTTTCTCAGTTCAATATTCCTTCAGACAAGAGACACTAAATATCACACTATGGTATATATTTATAAAGAAACTGATTACATTCTACTATGGCTTTGCTTTTAGGTAGTGATAAGGTGAAATGTGTTTCTATAATATCCTTTGGTTAGAAGTTAATGCACAAATGAAAATAAAAACCAGCCTACAGGCAACTAGGTCCGACCATACTTTCATGCATCTAAACGAACATAATCCTATGAGCTCGTGGGCCTCCTATGTGCCACGGTCAGTGTGCACCACCTGAGGCCACCCTTCACTTCGTGGGGCACACTCACTCACCAGCTGGCCGGCCAGGAGCGGCATGTACTCAATGATGGCCAGCCGGACCCTCCACTTGGCATCTTCAGCCAGCTCCACTATGGCAGGAAGGAGAGACTGAGAGAGCTGACGGATCCCAATCACTTCATTTACACAGTCCAAGTTAGAGATGATATTCAAACGAACTTCTGGACACTGTAAATACCCAAGTTCCCAAAAGAACACATATAAGAATCAAGTTCTCTGCCCGATATTCCCCTACTGTCATGTTGAGATAAAAACTGCCTTGAGAATTAATGTAATAATACATGCAAAGCATTTATGATCACATCTGACAGACAGTATTACTCAATAAATGTTAGCCATCATTGCAATTCTGATACTAGCATATTTAAATTTAAATTTAAAACATTTAAAACAAAGCTACATTAGCTTTAAAGAGAAGACACCAGTGCGTATCAGAATGAATCAGGCAGGGAGGACACAAAGACATTTTCAGGACTGCATCAATGGCTCCTTGTGCTCATTTTCTGCAGAAGTTGTAACTCCATACCCAAACACAGGAATTGTCACGGGTTTAAATTAAGCTACCTTTTTTTATCCCTTAATCCCTGTTTGAGTTCTATTTTCGTGAAACCCCAAACCAAAACCAAACCAAATCACTGACTATCAAAGGCAATAGAATTTTTAGCCAGACTCACCTCATCCTTTAACTGAGCTAAAAAAAGAGGTAGAAGATGTTCAATGGTATTCTCTTTGCCCAAAATGGTAGATAATCCCATAATTACAGAAGCTAAAGCCGATTTGACGTGTTGATTTGTATCAGATACTAATTCCTAAAATAAAATCAAAATTAAAAACCTTTCTTTTTGGCAAGACAACAGAAACTTCCATACCATCGCCCAAGGAATTTAAAGAGACAGCACTATTTCAATATTGATACTAGTTGATCAATTTCCTCAAGCCATCTGTTAGATAATAGAAACCTATGCAACAAAGAGCATTTTACAATAACAAACACTAATAAGTAATAAATAACAGTGTCATATTAATGTGACTGTCCCAATCATTCCTTATCCACCCTTAAACTTGAAGAGCTTTAAGGTAAAACAAAGAAACAAAAAAACGGAGGTAAAGTTTACCTTATAACATACAGGGCAAGGTGAAACAAAAAATAACCTAATTAGGTTTACCTTTATAAAGGGCAGAATTTGATTCATAATTATGGTCTCTCTACCTTCAGGGGGCAAGTTCTCACAAAGTTCTGAAAGAGAGAAAAAGAAAAAACTACTAATGCTTACATACAGCCATTTACAAGCAACCAGGTTTATCAACAGTTGCAACTTAAATCATGTTTTAGCAAATAAGCTCCAAAAGGGGAAAACAGCTCTTATTCTAAATGTACTTTTCATCAATCTATATGCCATATACACCAATCCAACCTGCAAAGGCATCTTTTTTACAAAAACAAGATAAAATGGCTATATGGTTTTAAATATAAAGGGAGTAGCCTTGTCCCACAATGTGACATCCTACACAAGGAAATCGCCTTATTGAAAAACATATCCCACAACAAAAACCATACAAAATTCGCTGACATTAAAAAAAATGCACCAAAATGAATGATATATCCTGCAACATAAACTGAACTCCTTAACCTTTTACTTTGTGGGCAGCAGCTGCTCGGACTTCGGCTTCACAGTCTTTAAGTAGGTTCTGAAAGGCGGGGATGAGGTCATTTAGGGTGATTTTAGGACCCACAGCTTTCTGGAGCTATAAAAAAATTTGTACAGGTTTTAATGTCTCCTAACAAGTTAATTAACATGAACAAAACAAAACAGTGTAACCTTCAAGTATGTTTTTGCTACAAGCACTTCCAATTCAGAAGAATTAAGAAACTTGGTACACAGCAAATCTGTGGGTTTGGATTTTTTTTTCTCTTAGTACTTTAAAAATGTCAGTACAATAATTTTACCTCTGAAAACTTGTCAGCTACCATGTAGCGAACCCTCCAAGATTTATCTTCTGCTGCTTGCCGAAGTGTAGGCATCACCAAAGCCTCAAGGTCCTCCTGAGACAGTAACTGGGCAATGCTGACACAAGCTTCCACAGCCAGGAGACGCACTGAATCCTAAAGGAACAAAATTTCTCTGTTAGTCAGACAAGATTTATGGAGAGCCACAAGGCAGTATAGTATGTGTTGTGTGGGGCAGTGCTGTGGGTGTCATTTAAAAGAAAAAAAAACAAAAACACTATATAGAGCTTCACGTCTTTATGTCTTAAAACATACTTTGCCTAGAATGGCATATCAAAGCCATAAAAGTAGAAACGACCTTGTTCTAGAGTGAACAGTAAAGTAATTCCCTCAGCCAGAATGCAGAGTTTTTATTAAGGAAAACGAAATGAAAATGTAAAAATTAAATGAAAAAAAGAGAACATTTTAATGATGTCTTCAAGGCCTTCCTATAAGTTGTTAAGGGATAAAAAAATGAAAACTATACTTGAACAAACTGTTTAACAGATCACAACAAAAACAACAAAATAAGGGAAAGGGAAACAGGAAGCTCAGTTGTCCAAATACTCGATTTGGGGTGGCAGTAATAGTAGGCATGAGATGACTTGGAAAGAAATACACAGAAAAACAAAATAGCAATTTAAAAAAAAAAAACAAAAACCCACTGGATTTGAACGTTGAGAATCAGGGACAGAGTAACTTTGAGGTAGCCAAGCCTAGAAAAATGCAGCAAAAAGTTGAGAAACGTAGGAGATTAATGAACTCAACTTCCCGAATGTAAATTGCCAAGTGTCAATGTGATACCCATATGTCCTTTGAGCAAGTAGAAATACACAATTAGACAAATCAATGAGAAATTAGGAATTGAGATTATAGTTTTAGGAATCATAAATATGTAAGTGGAAACTAAAAATACGTAAACATAAGCACCCAGGAGGGAGACCAAAAATGTGAATAGTATGTGTGCACATATGATGACGTATTTTATATATATTACACATACATACATGAAAGAGAGATAAGGGACTCCAACTTTTCAAAATATTACAAATTTTAAAAATTTTTGGTCAATAGTAATTTACTATATGCCCAGAATGCTCACTCCTCTATCCAAAAAGAAGGCAGAACTAGGTTCTTAGTAGTGGCTATACCAATTATTTTTGGAATCCAAAAACAATGCTAAATCAAGGGACTACTATCATCTATGGAAATATATACCAATAAATACTTGTTAATCAATTACTCTTCCCCCCTATGCTTGCTCCTCCATCTCAGCAATGACGACACCACCACCCACCCAGTTTGGGCTCAAACCAAAGATCAAGGTCTCTGATTGCTCCTCCCCTCATCCCATCTAATCCCATCATAGCCCTAATGATGCTGCCTCTGAACTTGTCTCTAGATTCTCTCCACCTTCACTGTACCACTTTCATTCTCCATTGTGTCTTGCCTGAATTATTCCAAAAGTCTCCTAACTAGTCTTGCTATTTCTAATCTCGCCCCTGCCCCTTATAATTCGGCTTTCACCCAGAAGCCAGAATGTTTTTTAAAATGTGAATTAGATCAAGTCACACCACCCCTGCTTAAAATCTACGTGTATTCGCACTGCACCTAGAATAAGAAATCCAAACTCCATACCCTGACTTACAGGGCCTCTGCCTATCTTCTCCAACCTCATAGCCCACCAGAGTCCCTATCACCCATTATGTTCCAGTGCTAGGTGTCCTCTCCTCCTGGAATTCTCTTTTCCTGGAATTCTGGCACTCCAGGAAAGGGTATGGCTGGCATTTTTCTTCTGTGTCTCAGTTTATATCACCTCCTCAGAGTCCTTCTCTAACTAACCAGTCTAGACGAATGCCCTATAATCACTTCCTATTACGTCACCCTACTTTATTTTCATCAGTGTTTATCATTAGTGCTTATTGATCTCTTAATATTACCTGTTTTCCTTCATCAAAATGTACACTCCATGACAGAAGGGCCTTTCTATGCCTTTTAACACTGGACCCCAGCACCAGAACAGTGCCTGATATGTAGCAGGTACTCAATATTTTTTCAATGAATTAGTAAGCCAAGAACAGCAATTCTATCAGTGGTCAGACAGAATATACATACACACATTTTACAACTAAGCACTTAATATTTTTTTTTTAAAGTTTTTATTTATTTATTTGAGAGAGAGAGAGAGAATGAGAGATAGAGAGCACGAGAGGGAAGAGGGTCAGAGGGAGAAGCAGACTCCCTGCTGAGCAGGGAGCCCGATGCGGGACTCGATCCCGGGACTCCAGGATCATGACCTGAGACAAAGGCAGTCGCTTAATCAACTGAGCCACCCAGGCGCCCAATATTTTTTCTAATATAACACTAGAAATTATATGCCTCTTAACAAAAAATACAATCCCACATATGAAGTGGTCTTACTACACCAAAAATATCAAATCTAAATCTCATTAAGCCTCTAGATCAGGGATGGGACAATAATTGACCAAATCCAGGACTGCAGCTACTTTATGTAGATAAAGTTTTATTAGAACACCACCATGCCCATTAGTTTACACATTATGGTGCTTTTGTGCTGCAAGAGCAGAGTTGAGTAGTTAAAACAGAAACCGGCTCACAAAGCCAAAAATATTTACTATCCGGCCCTTTACAGAAAAAGTTTGCAAACCCTCCTCCCCCCACACTAGATTCAACTATCAATCTGCAAGAAATACAGAGGACAAAGGAAAATGTTAAATTATACCATGGGAAGCATAATCAACAAAATCCTAAATGAGGACTCTAAACCTATCTGTCCAATGTGGTAACTACTACCCACCTAATGCTTCGGAGAACACGAAATGTGGCTGGTGTCACATGTTCAAATGATTATTATTTTGGACATACTGGCTTAAATAAAATAAATTATTAAAACTAATTTCCCATTTTTTACTTTTTAAAATATGACTACTAGAAAACCTAAAATTAACTTACATTCTATTTGTTAAACAGTGCTGTTTTAAACTATAATGTTGAAGCAATAAATGTACAGAGAAGAGGTGGTTACCACGAAAGTCAAGTGTTACCTGAAGCGGGCAGGGAGCAGGTGTGTTTGAGAGGGAACATGTGGTAGGCTTCTAGGGTAGTGGCTGTCAAAGTTCTGTTTGCTAATAAGATGACATTACCTTATTCATGGAGCTGTGTATTTTGTGCTCTTTTCTATATGCAATTTTAATAACATTTTTAAATTATTTTGAAAGTAAGATTTACCATCTTTCAATCTAGGATCTGAAAATGACACTCATCAGTATGTGTCTGGTGCTCTTGGTCCTATACATGTGAAGTGCTTCTAGGATAGACAGTAGGCAAATTAAAACCCAAAAGGGTTCTTCTAGAGTCCAGAAACTCTGGGGGCAGACCCTCTGAACCATAAAGAGAGGCAGTATACCCTGGCTGTGAAGGCTGTGCACTCTGGAGCCAAACTGCCTAGATTCCCATCCCATCTCTACCACTGCTGACTGTGCAACCCTGAAAAAGTTACTTCAATTTTCTGTGTCTGTTTCCTAATACGTAAAATGGCATATCTACCTCATGGGGCTTTTATGAGGACCGAAGTACTTCTTATATGTACACCTCTTAAGACAGGCTGAGAAAAATCTCATATTTAATGTAGTGCTCCTTATTATTTCCACCCCAGAAAGATATAGATCCTTGGATTTAGAATTGCTATTATGCAAAGTCACCCTATACATTCATCCAGAGGATACAGAAGGTCAAACAGCCTTCTCAACACATGCTCTGCTTGTTTAACTGAAAGTCAAAAATTCCAGGCAACATTATTCCCCTCATGACTGGCTGCAATGCACAAAAGTATGTTACCCCTTAACGCAGCTTTGGTCTTCCCTTCTAACATGGCTCCCATTTCCTCTTTTTTTTTTTTTTAAGATTTTATCCATTTATTTGACAGAGAGAGAGAGTACACGCGCACAAGCAGGAGGAGTGGCAGGCAGAGGGAGAGGGAGAAGCAGACTCCCTGCTAAGCAGAGATTCCCAACGTGGGGCTCAATCCCAGGACCCCAGGATCACTACCTGAGCCCAAGGCAGTTGCTTAACTAACTGAGCCACCCAGGCACCCTCCCATTTCCTCTTTGACTCTTCTTTTAACCACTGCTAATGTAAGAGAAAATCATGGTCTGGTTAAGAAAGAAATATAAGGACACTGAGATGGGTCATATTAAACTTTATCCAGCCCAGACTTAAGTATCAATTTGGCAAAAAGGATCCTAACATGAGAACCAAAACTCCCCTTAAAACATTAGAGGAAAGGAGCATATCAGTGTACCTTAAATACTAAAGGTTAACTTACCTGTTCATCTGAAGCTAGATTAGTGAACAGTGGAACAATTTCACTTTTCACACTGTCTAATTCCAAAACTTTTGCAAATTCGCCCAGTTTGGAAGCGGCAGCACGTCGTACCATTGGAGTGTCATCTGAGCACAAGGAACGGAAGTGCCTGGAGCAAATAAAATAATGAAGGCATTTCCTGTCAAATACCATCAATTAAACACCCCCAACACAACACACAAACACATACACACAGAGAGCCATTTTAGAGGTTTTCTCTCACAAACAACAGTGATTAGGCTTTTACTCATGGAAGTCAAATATAAAACCACTAGTATATTCAACTGAATGATAAAAAAGTCATGTTACCACTTCTCCTATCCTGCTATCAGCCACTCACTGGTAACAGGGTATTACTGTGTAAATTGTCAGCTATGAGTTCCCAATAATCCCAAATAACTAAAAAAACACCGTATCTTACTGTCTAATTTCTGCTTTGACAGCATTTGAAGCCCTGGGATAGCAAACGCTGAACAAACCACACGCAGATGTGCGAGAAGTGAACCAATCCCCACTCGCCAGGCGCTTCACCAGAGGTACAAAGTGAGCTTCCAGAGCAATGGGAGTATGCTCCTGGGAGATCTGCCTCAGGGACTCCACAGCCTTGTCTCGAACCACGGTCTCTTCCACAGTCGCCAGACTTTCCAAAGGAGGCTAAAAAGACCAAAAAGGAAAAATCAGAGAAGAAAACTTAGGAAATCAGGTTAGCTACAGATTATCACCTTTTAAAGTGACTGAAGGGAGGTGGTACATGTAACCAGAATGTTAGCTACAGCACACCAAATGGTTACTTTCAGTTCACACAGTGATAACATATGGCGTGTCCAACCTGAAGACACGACTTCTGTAGGACAGCCAAGATCTCATGTCCCAGATGGCAATTCCCAGATGGTGTCTACAAATGACACACTGGAGACTTGACACAATATTAATATTACTGCGAGCTGAAAGACTAGGTTTAAGAGATATGTAGCCAAATTCAGATAAGATCATGTTTATTTCCTCAAGAGTAAGTGCAAAAACATGAGCAACACCGGGTACCACAATTACATGATGACATCTCATCAGGCCATGGAGCCCACACAGGTTTTGGAGTATTATTCTACCATTCCTGGAAAAGCAAGCAACCCTTGTCCACTAGCTCCACACCATCAACTTATCTAACATATGAAAGGCTGAGTACAGAATCTCTTTTCAGAATACATCCGAAATCTTATGAGCCAGACACAGAGCAGGAGTCCCTGACAGAACAACGAAGAGTACAGACATGGTAGGAATCCTTGTTTGTAGCTTCGGAAAGAGAAGAGACCAAAAAGGTTGGTCTGGACCAGGAGAAGTAAGTGAACATGACACAGCCCAGTGAAAAGTGCAAGAGGGCTGGTTCTCTGAACCTCTACCTTTCTGGGTGTGCATTTGAGTTAGGTATATTCAGCATATGCCATGACCTGCAAATGTTAAAGACAAAATCCACATACAGAACTGACCAAGAGAGTGAAACAGAATTATGTGTCAACCTAATAATGAGTCTACCTAATAATACATTTCAAAAATTGTTTGATACACACAGAAGTAGAAAGTACTCAGCTTTCCTAAGAGGTATTTCAGAAGCCCTCTGAAAAGATACCGCTTTCTTACTTGCTTGCGAATGAGTCTCATGATCTACCCTTGCCTTCTTTTAGCTGCTCTCGTATAGTATCACTGGCCGGTCTCTATCACCACTGTAAAATAAGGCCAAGCTCCTGAGAATCAATTAGTTGTCTCTGGATTTGAACTCTGCCTACTTCTACAGGCCCTCTCCCTACGGCCCCACCCACCACTCCAATATACTCTGGCTCAACACACCAGCACCACAACCTGTTTCACACTTCCAAACCCCTGAATCAATGGATGATTACTGTTGTATTACAGTACTGAGGACAGGGAAAAAACAAGGCAGACAGGTTCCCTGTTCTAGTGGACTTTATATTCTAGTGGAGGAAGACAACCGATCAAGAAAACAATCATATGGTGAGGAGTACTTTGTGAAAAAATAGAACAGGATGATGTGGTAAGGGGTGTCGAGGAGGCAATTTCAGGTTGGGTGTTCAGAGAGGCCTCTTTGAGAAGACGCACTAAAGCTGATATCTGAATGACAAGGAACCAGCCACCAGAAGCCCAAAGAACCTTAGGGGGAATACCTAGGGCAATGATCCTAAGGCAGTAACAAGCTTGGTTTATTCAAAGAACAAAGACCACTGTAAATAAAACGAGGTTATCAAGAGGGAACACGGCACGAGATAAATTCATAGAGATAGCTTGTCCCTTAGTTTACAAAACCTATGGTAGGAATTTGGATTTTCTAAGAGCTAAGGCAGGAAATGATCCATTTGCTGGGTGAAGAGTGAACTAGAGGGAGAAGGTGAGAGGCAGGAGTGGAAAGCACCTGGTTAGGATGTTACTGCAGTAATCTCGAGGAAAGGTCTGGGAAGACGAGAGGAAAGAGGAGCTAGGTAGTAGTGGGGAGGAAGGAAAGTGAACTGATTTGGAATGTACACAGAATCTACAGGAATTACTAATGCACTGAATGTAGAAAATGACGGAAAGAGGATGCAAGAATGTCTTCTAGGTTTTGGCTTGTCCAAGTGGGTAGACAATGATGCAATTTACTGAGATGGAACCACTAAATGAGAGGCATACTTTAGGGAGAAAACTGAGCTGTTTCAGGCATGTTAAATTTGAAATGCCTAATCGACATCCAAGCGGAAAAACCATAGGCAGATATGTAAAGAGATATAAGCAGATATTTATATCCATGGAAAGATCAGAGGTAGAAATAGAAATCACAAATTAGCATCACATAGAGAGTATTTAAGCCATGAAGCATACATCTCTATCTTGTCCAACTGGTGAATTCCTAATCATCCTTCAAAACCTAGTTTAGACATCACCCCCCAAGAGGTTTTCTCTCATCACCCTTAGTTAATCTCTTTCTCCTTTCTACTATTTAGGTACCCTGTACGTGCTTCTATTTTTCCATCTAACACTGTATAGTAACTACTTGTTGACACAGAAGGGCAGACACCTTATTACATTCACACCTGTCTCCTTTAACATTAACACTATAACTTCAGTGCCTGATATATACAGTAGGCTCTCAGTAAATGTCACCCAAATTGAACTGAACTCATCAAATCCACAAAGTAAGTCAGAAGCACACCGTAGGCTTATGATCAAAGATAAAAAGCTAATAAACAATTCCAAGGAGGCTGACTGGTTCAGTCTGTAGAGCATGCAGTTGTTTTTTTTCCCTTAGATTTTATTTATTTGAGAGAGAGAGAGAGCAAGCGCACGAGCGGGGGGTTGGGGGTGGAGATGGAAAAGCAGGCTCCCCACTGAGCAGGGAGCCCAACTCGGATCCAGGACCCTAGGATCATGACCTGAGCCAAAGGCATACGCTTAATGACTGAGCCACCCAGGCTCCCCAGAGCATGTGGTTCTTGATCTGAGGTTGTGAGTTCGAGCCCCATGCTGGGTGTAGAGATTAAATAAATAAAAACTTAAAAAAAAAAAAGGGGGGGGGGTGCAGCTAATAAACATTTCCATAATCATGACACTGCTAGATGAGAATTAAGATCTCCAATTTTGTCGGGGGGGGGCGGGAGAGAACCCACAAAAACAATCACACCCTTTTCCTCCCAACATCTAAACTAACAAGTAAGTCCACAGAGGCAGAAAAGAAAAAAGGAAGTTCTTATGCTCATAGTGAGAAAAATGAAGTGCCTACATTATTTGTTTTCCCAAGAGCCAACACTGTGACTATCCATAAAAAAAAATTGCATTAAAAATGCTGTAGTGTTCCTATCACTAATTTATCATTTATACTGGAAAAGTTCTGGAAGGATAGTAGGCAGAATATACTTACCAGCAAACAGTGGGCAAAGTCAGGACCTCCCACCAGGCCAGTGAAATTTCCCAGTTGCTCAGCAAGAGCTAACAGTACCTCATCTTCATCGTAAATAGTATCTGAAAACGACAATAACCCAGTACTCACCAAGGATAACTGGCCCAGAGCGGGGTACTCACACAACACTAGGAGGGGACTCCATGTTTAACGAGACAGTCCTGTCACAATCTTAACAGCATTCTGGATCTGTCTTACATGAATTAGAAACTGACAATCCTGTATCAATTATTTTCCCATTAGCTAAATAGTTAATGTTTTAATAAAAGTCTGGCCACAACATTACACTACGCCCTGTCTTGTTTCTTCTGCACAGAAAGCATCAGGCTCAGTTTAGTACTTAATAGCATGGGTAAATAATTCTAAAAAAGAGTCCAAGTTTTGAAAGTCACTAGAAAATGGCAATGGCCATGCTTTTCTTTAAACAAAAAATTCACAAACCTGTAAGGAATGGCAGCAGTTCTGTTCGCGTCCTTTCTACTCCAAGTGCTAGAGCAATTGTTGATAACTTCTTAATACTGTTGAGGCGGAGCTTTAAAAAAAAAAAAAGAAAGTGGAAAGAATGAAGTAAACAATTGTGATTTAGACCAAAAGACAAAAGTTGCAAACAGGTGAGATAATGACATTGAGTGACAAGGAGGAAAACCTTCAATTTAGATTTTATTCCATGAGGAACCTCGGGAGCAGTGGGAACACAGCTTCATTTTAGCCAAAGGAAGGTTTCTTAAGAGCAACACTCAAAGGGCCCATTAGAAAAAGGAAAAAGAATACCACATCCAGGAAGTGAGACAATTTCAAAATGAGAACACTTTGGCAGCGGTGAAGCAGGTGAAATGGTTGAATACAACCCTCGGCTTTCCAAAGAAAAGTTACACCAGAGCTGATACACCGACTTCTCTAGGTTAATAAGCCACCCCACTCTCTTTGTACCCAACAAGCCAGGCGGGTTTCCAAGCCGAGAGGAAGGCTTTCATCCACCTGCAGCTCACAGGGCCCCTCGGGCATCCCTGCAGCCCGCTCCAGCCTCCTCGGGCCCGCGCCGCCCTCCTCCCGGCCCAGGACTGGACGCGCGTTCCCTCCCTTTCCAGCACCGCCCGGAAGGGGCGCCCCTGCGGGAAGCCGGTGCTCCCACAACCGCCGGGACCGGGCGGGACGCCTCAGGCGCTGGGAGGAGGGGTGCTGGAGAGGCCCAGGGGAAGGTCTGGTCGAGCCAGCGCAGGCCCTCATGAGCCTTTATCCTCCTCCCCATCAAATTTGTGCTCCAAGTCGGGCTCTTCCAGTCTCCCGGCGTCCCCCACCACGGAGCCGGCCTTCCTCCTTCCCCACCACACGCCCGGCCAGACCCGCCTCCACTCCCCGGCCCGATTCTAGTACCTGCACGTCCTCGTTGCGGAGCTCGTCAATTAAAACCGCAATCGGGTATAGCGAGTCGTCTCCATCTCCTCCCGCTGCCCCCGGGCCGGTCCCGGGCCCCGCTGCGCCCGCCATGTTCTTTCTCCTCCGGCTGGTCGCCGCCGCCCGCCCCGCGCCCAGGCCCCGCCCCGCGCCCAGGCCCCGCCCCGCGCCCAGGCCCCGCCCCCGCCCCGCGCCCAGGCAGGCGGAACTAAGACCCTCGCTCCCACTCCGCGGAGGCGGGGCAACAGAGTCCCTGCCGGGGTGGTGGAAGTCCCCGCGCGGACTCCGTTGTGGGAGCTGTACGTTTAAACTCCAGAAGAAGGGTGGGCTGAGAAAGCGAACGGAGCCCCCGCATCCTTTACACAGCCGAAAGCAACAGGGGCAGGAGTTCATTCTGCTCATGGTGGGCTGAAGGGGTCAGGGACCTACCTGAGTGATGCAAGCTGTGCTCCTAGGGCTCAGGCGCACCACAGAGGAGGCCCCAGGCCAGGAGGAAAACAGATTTAGCACCTCCCCCGACTTCATCCTGGCCCTGAGCCACCGGGTCTCCAGCCCTAATTTCCCCTGCTAGCCTCAAGCTTCCACAGAACCCCTCCACCTCTTCCTCTGGCCTGTGAGCCAGAATTGTATCTGGCCCCTGCTCCATCAGACAAATACCGCGGGCGGTGAGAGGAAAGGAACACTGCTGTCCAAGCTCCCCAGTCAATATTTTTTCCGCTTTTTCCATGCAAGCTGTTAAAAACATGCTGCTCTCTTGTTTTTGTGTTTCTTTTCAGCTTGGTACTGGAATGGTGCCTTCTGTTGTTTTTTCTTCCTCCCTCTTTTAGGTCTTTAGCATGCTAGAAGTACAACAATCAAGCAAAACTAGGACAAGCTTTAATCCTTCCAAATTGGGTGGAGCGGCTACTTTGCTTGTACAAGAAAGGCTAAACTGGCCTCCCTAGAACTCCCAAGAGTCCTCAGAGGCACCAGTTAGAGGAGGTGAGGGTGCTGGAGTTTCTTACAAAACTTCATGGAAAGTTTTCCTTTACCCTTCTGCAGACAGCACAGAACCACCAGAATGTCCCCTCTTTTGTTCGTTTTGGACTATAATTAAGCAGCTTAGAGTGATAAACTACATATGGTGAATATGTTGATCGTAAGCTCCGAAATGGTAATTGCAGGTCTGATTAATAAAAACATAAAATTATTAATGAACGTAATTTAGGAGACTTTAAAAAAAAACACCATTTTCGTCAGAATAAACACAGTAGATAGAGCCTTTGATAGGAGTGAAAGTTTGGGGACCAATGGACTTGAACAGTAGCTCTCAAATTAGGTCTGTGGATGTATTCTTTAGGGCTTCGGTTTGGTTTTCATCTTGGTAATAATTTTTAGATTTATATAAGCATATTCTGGACTATTTGGATGACCACTTTATAACCAGTATTGCCGCCCTATTTCAATACTTAGGTTTGCATGTGCGTTCCCATGCTGCTTTTACCCTTCTAGGATAATAAGAAAAGATCGGAGGTAGATTTAAAATGAAAATGGTGTTTTCATGCCCAAAATGAAAGCCAAATGACACCATGGAAATGCACTGTCACAGCATTTCCAACAGAAGAGTAGTGAGAAAACAGGTATTACAGGTCACTTGGTGGCATGGGCACATTCACCTCAAAAGAAGCTGAGCATTCCCAGGCAACACCTGAGTCACAATACAAGGGATAATTCAGGCTCCTGCGTATTTGATTTGTAGATCTCTTTTGGGTTTTTAGTGTATAAGAACTATAAATAAAAGAACACTATATTCCTACTTTATATTTGCAAGTTTAAGTAACATTGTAATAAAAATAATTTAAGTTGGGGGCACCTGGGTGGCTCAGCCAGTTAAGCATCTGCCTTCCGCTCAGGTCATGATCCCAGGGTCCTAGGATCAAGCCTTGCGTCTGGCTCCCTGCTCAGTGGGGAGCCTGCTTCTTCTCCCTCTCCTCCCCTGCTCATTCTCTCTCTAATAAATAAAAAATCTTAAAAAAAAAAAAAAAAAAGTTGGGGCGCCTGGGTGGCTCAGATGGGTAAGCATTTGCCTTCGGCTCAGGTCATGATCCCAGGGTCCTGGGATCGAGTCCCGCATCGGGCTCCCTGCTCCTTGGGAGCCTGCTTCTCCCTCTCTCTCTCTCTCTCTCTCCCCCCCTCTGTCTCTCATGAATAAATAAATAAAATCTTTAAAAAAATAAAATAAAAAATAAGTTGCCTGAAGGTTTTCACGATTTTTTTTTCCCTTTAGAAATGGATCCAAATACCACTCAAGGTTGAAAAACAGAGGGCTAAGAGGTTTTCGGATTTTGTACTTTACCAGTTAGAAGATCGGAGGGGGTTCCTATTGGCATGGAGAGAAGAAATCTGTTCCCTTATACTTGATGTAAAAAGGCTTCAGAAATGGTGGAGGAAGTAAGCAGAGAGAAAAGCACATTAAGTCAGTTCCAGGCATATCATCATCTACATGTTGCTCAAGCTTAGAGGAGCCTCATTCTGAACAAAAATTAGCACACTGATTAATGCTAAGCTATTTTGTTTAAAACTCAGATATGCTTTCCTTACCCAAGCACAATGAATTGGATACCTAAGGAATAACTATGATTAAATATGAAATCACAAGCTGAAAAAAATGGGTGCCAAAAAATTGCCTGGTTTGAGAGTCATCAATTCTAGACTTCACTTCCCACCTCTGTCTCTGACTCACTGTGACCTACCTCTTCCTATTCCTCAATCCCACCTCCCACCCCCTCACCCCCAATAAAAGAGTTAACCACCTCTGGGTCCCTCTCTAGTTACTGTGATGATGTGAGAATAGAACAGGTAGTAAACATGAAGATGCTAATAAATTCTTCAATAAAGAAACTAATTAAAACAGACTACAGCAGAAAGAGGCTATTTCAAAACTGGGCCAAATGGAAACTGGAACAAAATCTAAGTCTTTGGAGGAGTGTGGTCCGCAGACTATCTGAATCACCTACGATGCACGCTAAAAAAAATGCATATTCCTGGCTTGCACCCCAGATCCACTGAATCAGAACCCCTGAGAGTAGGGTGGGGCATTTTACTGTGTACCCCTGGTGATTCTAATGTACATTGATATTTCAAAGTCACTGATTTAAAAACATCTGTAAAAATCATTTCCAGGTCAACAAGCAGCTGCTCAGGAAGAGTCTGAAAAGAGTCTCTGGAGGCCGCTTCTTGTCCAGAAAAAGCAAATGACGGCAAAAACTGCTTATTGATAAGCAATTCTGTCCCTATTGGTTACGGTTTTTGCCAGATTAAACTGATCCCTCTTTTGCTGGCCTCCTGGAATGCAGCTAAGTAAGACAAATACAGTACTGTGGCTCCAAGCTGCTGCCACATCCTTTCCTCTCTATTGCCCCTCTGGTCTCCTCCCCAAGACCCCCCCCACAACACACACACACACAAAACTAATGACCAGGGAGCACCAGAAGCAGCAGCTGAGATTCCACCGGGGGTTTAAAGCAACACTCAGGAAACAGTGTGACATTCTCAGCACAAAAGCACTGAGTTCTGACACCCACATGCAGTTCACGCATCTAGTGAATCAAGGGAAGACAGGCTCAGACTTGCCCCATTCCTGTCACACAAAGCATGGAGAATATGGAGAAGCACAAGCAGATGGGATCAACAGACATCAACGCTTGTGCTTGTAACAGCTCCCGGCGTCCCAGCAGAAAAGGGTCAGTCCTGAGGAAGTCTGAAGGACATCACGGTCATGCTCTCTGACCTCCTGCTTCATTGATTCAGCTCGCCTCTTCCTCACCATCCACCGGGCTTTACAAAATAAATGTTCATTCAAGCTGATCTGCTTCAGAGCCACCCCCCTGGAAGAGAAGGCCAAGTGCAAGAGAGACACTTGTATGCAGGTGGTTCTCACAAGGCTGACCCACAAGTGTCATCCCATTGAAAAGGCAGTCAAGAAATGGTTGATGAAAAAAAAAATTTTTTTAATTAAAAAAAAAAATAAAGTGATAGATGGTCCAGTTCACGCACAGGAAACCTGAGGTACATGCAGGCATTTTCCAACTATCTTCATTTAGCAAGATGACCCTGGTAAACTGATTCCCAGGTCTGTACTTAATTCATTGCAAAGCAGTAATTATCACCATTGCATTAATGATATTTTGAATTTATATTTATATAAAGACTGTCTTAATCCTGTGGAACTCAAATATTTTCACCTCAAAATTTTAATTGCATTTTTACGGCTGGGAATCCTTGACAAAGAAGAGGCTTTGCCTGGAGTCACACAATGAATCACAATGAATGAAGAAGCTGTGAAACACATAATCCTGGATTATTACCTCTCCTGGCTTCATCCTCTACCTCCATGCCACAGTTTACCACTAGATATAAAAAAAAGGTGTTGGATTTCCAGAGCAAAACTTCTCTCGAATTCTTGAGAAGAGCAAATCAAAGAAATGGGACAGCCAGTTCTGATTCAGGGCAGTATACAGAATGGTTAAAATGGGGGCATCTGCGTGGCTCAATCAGCTAGGCATCTGACTCTTGATCTCAGCTCAGGTCTTGATCTCAGGGTCATGAGTTCAAGCCCTACACTGGAGTATACAGTGAAGTCAGGATGACCTAGATTGACATCCCAGCCCTGCCAATTATTAGTTTGTGTGACTGTGAACAAATAACTTACCCTCTCAGAATCCTGGTTTCTGCATCTATAGCGTAGAGCTGTAAAGCTTACCTCATGTGGTTGTTAAGATCAAATAATGCATATAGAGTGCTTCGATTAGTACCTGACAAGAGTCAGGTACTAATAACCATCAAATATTAGCCATTAATAGTTATTTACTGAGGAAGTAGAAGCAGGAAAGAACACATTCCAATCAACTGAGCTTTGGCAACAGAGGACCAGTATGAAAAGATGAAAGGAGTACATGACTTAGAGAAGACCTAACTCAAGGTCTTCCAGAAGGTTTTCTCATTGGCAAAAAAATAGGGGCAAATCTTAGCTGAGGTCTCTCCGGGTTCCTGTGAGGAATAAGATCCATAACAGGAAGTACTTTGTAAAGGAAAAGCATTACGCAAATGCTAGAGTTTACTGAGCACCAAGTGCTCACTGAACTGGTGCCCACAGCAAACAGAAGAGAGCATC